TGTCATCCCGTTCCCTGTTGAGTTGATCACACAATTCCTTGGATGACTTAAGTTCTCTTAAAGTCAGCTGGAGTTTGGATTCCTCCTGACGAGATAAAGCCTTACGTGTCATCATTTCAACGAAATTAATAAGTATAAAAGTACGAAATTGAAATAACAGGAATTGTCTAACCAAACAGAGCAAGGTTATGTGCGAAATTATTTTGTAAAGTAAGGCAGTATTTTACAATTTTATCCAACACTAATATAAGCACAGTAATAATTAAGTAGTTTTTAATAATACTTGTTACACTCACTGCGTATAAAGAGAGAAATTTCTTGAAAACAGATGACAATGACTTACAAAAAAAAAGCCGGTATTATTCACAGTTGTTTTACACTTTCATGCGTTATTCACACTGGTATTTTTATAAAACACTTAATATTTAATGTTTACTTAATGATGTATTGGTTTAGAACCTTAAATTAACAAGATTATTGTAAATTAACTTGAAAAATATAGGGACAATTCAAAATCAGCTGTTTGCGACAGTGTTGCCAGAGGAGGAAAAAAAGAATATGATAACCATTTTCAAGAGTGTGGAATAATATTTAAATACTTTTCATTTTATCAAACAATTTTTTTAACAATTTAATCAAGGGGTAGTTTTCAAGGGTTGAAAGGGGGTTAAAATTTGATAATTATTTAGAGAATATAAAATATTACTTACTCTATACTTACATCTTTTTATGTCATACCAAAGTATTTTTTTGTGATTTTTTCAATTTAGGGGTTGTTTGCAAGGGTTGTAAGATTTTCAATGGGTTGAAAATGATTTTAATATGAGGTAATTATGTTAGAAAATACTTTACAATTTCACCACTTACTATTTGACATGTTTTCTAGCGATAAAATGGCTCAATGTCAATTTTTCCATTAAGTGGTTGTTTACACCCCTTAAAAATAATAGGCGGAGTTCAGATCATTTTCACTTTTGAAGTTAAGGGTAAGATGAGCCTAATTCCAAAATTTCATGCAAATCGGTTCACAGTAAAAAAAATTCGGAGGTAAGACCATATTTTTCGCTTCAATGACTGCACTAATGGTATTTAAATCAATGTGTTTTTTTTTTCAACAAATGACTCCACCTCACCTGATGTTAAGTGAAGGTGAAGTCCAGACGCGAAGATAGCTGATACAGCAGTTCTACCTGCCACACCAGCCATCGTCACCCTGCCGGCCTGCATGTTGCTTCTTCACACCTCTTTTAATCCAGATCCCAGGTTGTAACAGGGAGGGAACACGTGAGCGGGCAGAGCATTCCATTTACGGATAGTGCGACAAAGAAATGAGTCACCAAATTTCTTTGTACGCGTTGGAATTGTGGCCACAGTTAGACGGTGACAACGTAGGCCAGCGCGCGTGGTCCTCTGAAGGAAAGGAGAAGAGAGAATAACTCCTCAGAACACTTGCCGTGGTACAGACGATAGAACGCGCTTAGTGGTGCAACGTCACGGCGTAATTGAAGAGGCTCAAGGGATGAGGATCGCGTGCCGCTGTAACCTGTCCAAAGCATCGAGCAAGTACTTGGCGGAGCCATCCCAGAGGTGCGAGCAATATTCCACACATGACCGCACTTGCGTTTTGTACAACAAGCACAGTTGATCGGACGTGAAAAAACGCCGCACCTTGTTCAGGACTCCGAGTTTGCGTGAAGCTGTTTTGATCACGGTTTCTACATCGAAAAAATCCTTTGGATTCAGGTCTGAGCGAACTTCCATACCGAGCATGGAAATGTTGCTCTGGAACGGTAGTGTTGTGCCCTGAAGAGAGGGAAAGGGAAGGAATGGCGATGTTTTTGCCGTGAAAGCGCAAGCCTGAGTTTTCTTTGTATTGAACATAACCAAGTTCCTGGTACCCCATTCAGAAATGTGGTCCAAATTCTGATTGAGTTCAATGACAAGATTCTCCCGTTTCTCCTTGGTTACCGCCTGCCCAGCCGCTGCTTGTCCGAGATACCCCGCATGAGCTGTACTATCGTCTGCATAGCAATGAATATTCCCAAGAGGAATTAAGTCACTGATATGCAGCAGAAAGAGAGTGGGGGATAGGACGGAGCCCTGGGGAACGCCGGCATTCACTGACATGAACCGCGAACTGCTACCATCCGTAAGGACACGAATTCTACGCTCATGCAGGAAGTCAGCTACCCAAGAACAGAACTGGGCTGGCAGACCGTATGCCGGAAGCTTGGAGAGAAGGCTTTTGTGCCAGACCCTGTCGAACGCCTTGGCAATGTCAAGGCTGATAGCCAACGACTCGCCACGCTTGTCGATAGCCTCACCCCAGATATGAGTTAAGTACGCTTGAAGATCACCCGTCGATCGTTTCGGTCTGAAACCATATTGACAATCATTAATCAGGGAGTGATCGTCTAGGTAGCGGGTCAGATGGTTATTAAGGACCTTTTTTACAACTTTACATAAAACTAAGGTGACTGCTATTGGCCGGTAGTTTGCCGGGTCTGAGCGATCCCCTTTTGTGGGCACCGGTTGCACGTTAGCATTTCTCCAAGTCTCCGGCACACGCCCCAAAGAATACGAGCATTGGTACAAGCGCGTGAGCACGGGAGACAACTCCGCTGCACATTTTTTCAGTACTACTGCTGGGATGCCATCAGGTCCACTAGCTTTCCGGACGTCGAGTGATTGCAATTCCGCACGAACCTCACGCTGCCTGATTTTAATATCAGGCATCGTTGTGGCACAGTGAGGTAATGATGGTGGCAGTGCTTTGCTATCATCGATTCGGGAGTTAGCCGCAAGAGTTTTGCCAGTAAATCGGCTTTCTCCTGCGGCTTATGAGCTAGTGTTCCGTCTGGGCATCTCAGAGGTGGCAGCGAGGGCTGGCAGAAGTTTTTTTGCATGGCCTTGGCCAAACGCCAATAGCTACGAGAGCCCGTAGGATGCGTTATGAGTTCGTGACCAACACGTGGAACGCGCTGCGCATCCGCTCTGATGTAAGCTTTCTTACAGGATTTGGAAGCAATATTATAGGCTGCTTTCAGTGAATCGACCCCGGGATCCTTAAGAGCGCGGCCTCTGATCCAAGCACGATATGCCGCCTTCTTACGTGAAGCAGCTTCAGCACAGTCGTGATTGAACCAGAGTTTACGTGTGGCCTTACTGATGAGATTGGAATGTGGAATATAGTACTCCATACCCATTACAATCTCCTCAGTAATAGCAACGGCGCTGGCTGATAGGTCCTTGTCACTGAAGCAGCGCTGCTTCCAAGAGACGGACGCAAAGTAGTTACGCATACCATCCCAGTCTGCCGACCCATAGTGCCAGATCCGGCGTTTTACCACTGTTGGACGCGGAGGCTTGGCCTGTGGCGATTTGGCAGATATCAGGCAGTGGTCCGAAGAGCCCAGGGGGGCTCCTACCACAACCTGATAGCCCTGTGGATGGGTCGTGAGCAGAAGGTCCAGTAATGAAGGCGCTTGACTTGAAATATCTGGAATCCTGGTGGGTTGATCGACCAGTTGCTTCAAGTCATGCGTGAGAGCGAATGCGTGAGCAGAGATCCCTGCATGGTCAGTTTTCGAGGAACTTAACCACAAATTGTAGTGAGCATTAAAGTCCCCCAAAAACACCAATTCTGCATTGGGAAATTGCACCTGCGCGTCATCTGCCGCCCGACTAAGATGTTCGAAAAGTCGAGTTGTCTCAACATCGCCAGTATGGGATCTGTAGAGGCATACGTAGACTCTGGCCTGGGGACCAGAGTCGACGTGTACCGCTAACATGGAGAAGGAGGGATCTTCCAAGCAGCGGAGACGGCGACAACAAACATCCGCCCGAACATACAGGCATACACCGACTTTCGCTTTGAAGGACTTTTCAAGCACGGAGCCGGGATAATTAAGGTAGCCTGTGTTAGCAGGCGGAAGTATTTGTGTGTCCGTCAGGAACAACAATGCTGGCCGTGCTGTCTCAAGATGGTGGTGGACAGCGTTGAGGATAGAGTGGAGTCCGCGTATGTTGCAGAACGCGGCGTGGGGGTGTGCACCGCTGTACGTCCAAACTTTGTTATTGAGGCTGCCATGGTGGAAATGAAAAAAAGAGACGCGAAAACTAGCGGACGCTGTCGCGAAGAGTCCGAGGTTTGTTTTCCCGATTGACTGCCTGCAGAGGAAATGCGCCGACCCGCCGGACGGAAGGGCCCCCGCACCCCCCCGGGAGTGGCCGCCGGGACCCCACGCCCCGGTCACCAACCGGCACGACGGTCCACCCCGAGATTATGCGTGACATGATGGGGCAGCCTCGCGAACTGGTTAGGAACGCTTGGGCCCTGTACTGTGCCACGGGCTGCCAGCGGGACAGCTGTTTCTACGGGTCTCCCTGGCTGACGGGTCGATGCAGTCCTCCCGGCATCGGTTCGACGGATGCCTCCCCTGGACCGAATCCTTAGCGACAACTTCCACTCGAGCTCTGGTTGTACGCTGGCTGACCCGAAACGCGCGAGAAGCACTTCACGGGTTTTTCACCATGCGCACGGTGGTAACAAACCAGGCGGGTGTTAGGCACCCTACCACCAGAAGAGCGGGTGAAAGCTCCGATATCCTTTAGTCGCTTCTTGCGACACCCACGGGAAGAGAAGGGGCGGTGAGTTGTATTCTTTCTCCGTCACCGCACGGATAAAATGTGTACTTTTATTAGTCATATTCAATGTAATATAAAAAATCCTGACAATTTAAAGATCCTGACAAAGCCCGCACTATAGTCTCACATGTCCGGATTAATCCGATACTATAGTCTCACATGTCCGGATTAATCACATGGACGGATGGTAACCCTAGACGCAATGATACCATTTTGGTCACCTTGCGCGTTGGCAAAGGCTTAGGAAATATCTTTTAGAATTATATTCTGAATGTAATATAAATTCCTATAAAAATGCAGTTTATAGTGACATAGTTGGTTAGACGTCGTTAAGAGTTTTTGTTATTTTTCAGTGGTGGCAATGGTTCGTGCATGTAAACGACATCAATCAGTTGTGGGCTGCGCAGCCTACGTACATTATTTCGCAGTCTGTCTATCTTCTCGCAGGCGTTGTAACTCTTATACATGGTAGGTACACAAGATGATTTTATTTTATTTTATTTTTTAATTTAGATAAAAAATATATTATACCTAGTTACTCATTAAAATATGAAAGATTAACGATAAAAACTTTAACACAACAAAACAAAACCGCCGAAAAATAAAAATTAATAAACCTTTTTTATATTTAGTCAAATTAATATTTGGAGTGTCGGTGCCAGTGCCAGGCCAACCCAGGAAGTAATGGTCTAAGAGCTGGCTACGAAAAAGTGAACTGATAAGGTGTAGTAACGAATTATATATATAACCTCTCCTTGGTAGCTTACAAGTATAGAGCGAGGCCCGTCAGAACTCTCTCCAGGGGCGGAAGGCGTGGGTGGGCGGTCAAAATCGTAAATTTTCAATAAGAAAAAAATGATAAGGTGCAGTTCTGAAATTTTGTAGAGTTATAGTTTTTAACTGTAGGAATCTAGGAAAATTATTGTCAGAAGTCTAAGTCGGGGCTTAAAGACTGTCAGAAGTCGACAAAGTTGTAAAGAAATTGTTTAAATTTAAACCACAAGGTGTAGTTCTGACAAATGTATTTTTATATTATTTGTTGCTTATCGAACCTGTATATAAATTGTCAGAAGTCTTAATAATGGCTAAGTTCATAAAAATTGATGATATAGTCAGAAGTTGCTGAAGCGGCTATCGCGACGGAAAGCAACGTTTCGAATCTAGTTTTGAGTTAAAATAACAAGGTGCAGTTCTGACAATTGAATTTTTATATTATTTTTAGCTTACCAAACCTGCACATATATTGTCAGAAGGCTTAATAATGGCTAAGTACAGAAAAATTGATGATATGGCCAGAAGTTGCTGAAGCGGCTATCGCGATGAAAAGGAAGGTTTAAAATTAAATAACGAGATGCAGTTTTGGCTATTTATTGTTTTTATTATTTACACTGTTGTTTCAATAAATATGCAAGTAAGGTTAAGCGAGGGAGATAAAAAAAAATATAAAAACTGTGATGTCGAGTAATCGCTGACTTAGACGACAAACTTTAAAAAAAATATTCGTACTCAAAAAAAAATTAAGTAAATAAATAATATGAAAAATGAAATAGAATCGATAAGTTTTACCGAGAGCATTAAAAAAAAATATTTTATTTTAGTTTTTTGAATGTCAACATTTATTTTGCGCTAAGTAGTTTCTCATAACATACTACTTTACGATGCTTTAAACATGACAATAAAAACTATTTAGACCCAATTTTGTTCTTGCCTGATTTATTTATTTGTTTGGGCTTGGATGAGATTATATTATTCTCGCAAGCATAATTCTCCGAAACAACAACAAAGAAAAGGTTTTTATGATTCAGTAACTTCTTATCATAGAGTACCTGTAAACTCTCGGCAAAACTTATCGATTTTATTTTATTTTTCATATTATTTATTTACTTCATTTTTTTTGATTACGATTTTTTTTTTTAAAGTTTGTCGTCTAAGTCAGCGATTACTCGGCATCACAGTTTTTATATTTTTTTTATCGCCCTCGCTTAACCTTTTGTCATAGCATATTTATTGAAATAACAGTGTAAATAATAAAAACTATAAAAAGCCAAAACTGCATCTTGTTATTTAATTTTGAAACGTTCCTTTTCATCCCGATAGCCACTTCAGCAACTTCTGGCCATATCATCAATTTTTCTGCACTTAGCCATTATTTAGCCTTCTGACAATGTATGTGCAGGTTCGGTAAGCTATAAATAATATAAAAATTCGATTGTCCGAACTGCACCTTGTTATTTTAACTCAAAACTAGATTCGAAACGTTGCTTTCCGTCGCGATAGCTGCTTCAGCAACTTCTGACTATATCATAAATTTTTATGTGCTTAGCCATTATTAAGACTTCTGACAATTTATATACAAGTTCGATAAGCAACAAATAATATAAAAATGCATTTGTCAGAACTACACCTTGTGGTTTAAATTTAAACAATTTCTTTACAACTTTGTCGACTTCTGACAGTCTTTAAGCCCCGACTTAGACTTCTGACAATAATTTTCCTAGATTCCTACAGTTAAAAACTATAATTCTACCAAATTTCAGAGCTGCACCTTATCATTTTTTTCTTATTGAAAATTTACGATTTTGATCCACCCACGCCTTCCGCCCCTGGAGAGAGTTCTGACGGGCCTCGCTCTATACTTATAAGCTACCAAGGAGAGGTTATATATATAATTCGTTACTACACCTTATCAGTTCACTTTTTCGTAGCCAGCTCTCCGGCTATAAATGGGAACTCGGATTTATCAGACCTGAAATATAAATTTTACTAAAGATAAAAAAAAAGTTTTTACTTTTCAGTGGTTGATTTTTTTTGTAAAAAAGTTTTTATTTTACAATTTTTTGGGGTCTAATTTTTGTAATATACAACTTGGCATCAAAATCTGTGAGTGTCTATCATACACCAATATTATTATTATTATTATAGATACGCATATGCGTTTCATCTTTTCTATAGAACTTTTACATTTACACTCCGTCTAAAAAAAAATGCACTTTAAAAACTTCCGCAAATAAAGCTAGACCTTAACGAACCTATTTACTTTACATTTTGAAATAGTACAATATCGTAAACATTGACTTACAAAAAAAAAACCGCCCACGACTTAGTCCGCGTTAGCTGATTTTTTGCCCAACTTTCTTTTTTTCCTTAAAATCCATCTAGGTGCTTTGTACATTTTGGGAAATCTTTAAACATTACATTATGTGATGGAAGTTGACCTCAACACTTGTTTGCAAGTTTGATGTCAACTTTCAATTGGACGACACTGTATGAAATAAAACAGGGAGAAAAAAATCAGCCCTTGCTGACTTTCGGTCAGTCTTGCCGGTTCTTCTCAGTACAAGGTCTCCCGCCGTAAATTTGCGAACCGATGGCGTAGCTTTTCGACATTCACAAGTGCTTGTAACAGCCTAGACTGAATAAACGATATTGAATTCTGAATTTTTTGAATTTTTAAATAATTGAAGATATCGGTATCGTTGTTCGAGGGAAATAGGGGTTACTTAACTTTTTTAACAGACAGGGCTTTCAAAATCAAAATATCTTTATTCAAATTGGATGCATAGTACAACTCTTTTGAGTCCTCCATACATTTTTCCCTGCCACTCGCTATTGGACATATTTTTTTAGCTGCGGAGAAAAACGAGCGAAAAACACTCCAAAACATTAAAATACACACATCAAAAGTGTCTAGGGATCAAGCATTTTTATGCGGATTTCTTGAGATTGAGATGTGGCTTTGTAATAAATTTATGATTTTATAAATTTATATTGATCCTTTTTGGTGCATTTCATAATTTGAATCAGGAACTGTGAATCAAATTCGAGTAAAAGATGAAAATCAGCTGTCAATATTTTCCCTATAAAAACATACAACGCATTGAAGACATTATTAGTGCTACTGTTTCCCTACTACTGATTAAAACCAACGTTATTATGGAGCGGCGACGTCATTTAAGCAGGGAAGAAATGCTCAGAGCCGTGGGAATGATAGAAGCTGGTTCCCGGCAACGTACTATGGCTTTAGCTCTGAATACAAGTCAGAGTGTTATCAGTCGACTTTGGACACGATACCGAAGCACTGGTACCGTGGCTGAGCGCCATGGAGGACGGTATCGCTGCACCACACGGAGACAAGACCGATACTTTCAAATCTTAACTCGAAGAGCTCCAACAATAACCGCCATGATGTTAGCCGTGAGGCTTCATCACTCTTCAGGGAACTTAATTAGCGACCAAACAGTCAGAAACCGCTTGCATGAAGTGAACCTTCATTCCCGAAGACCGCTACGGGTACCACCTATAGCAATGCACAATCGTAGGATTCGATATCAATGGGCTCTTGAACACAGAAATTGGGCAGAAGAACAATGGCGTTTCGTGTGCTTTTCTGATGAGTCTCGTTTTGGTATGAGACCGGATACAAGACGTATACGACACTGGAGAACCCCTGGACGCCAACAGCGATTAAAATCCTGCCAGGAAGTCCATCCTTATAGTGGTGGAACCATCATGGTATGGGCGGGTATTTGGATCGGCGGAAGAACTGAGTTGATTTGGATCAGAGGCAACCTCAACGCTCAAATTTATGCTGAGACGATTGTATCAGACGTCATCGTTCCTCTACAAGTGCAAATCGGTCCCTTATTTCAGTTAATGCATGATAATGCACGACCGCACACCGCAAGAGTTGTAAGACAGACTCTCGCCGCAGCTAACATCAATGTCCTGCCCTGGCCTGCTCAGTCGCCAGACTTGAACCCGATTGAGCATGCATGGGATATGCTACAGAGAAGAGCTCTGCCGAATATGGAGGGTATCCAGTCGCAAGAAGACCTTTTTTTGTTGTTGCAACGAACATGGGCGGCCATTCCACAGCGTGATTTGGATGAACTCATTTTGAGTATGCCAAACCGATGTTCTTGTGTTGTTAGTGTTCGCGGTAGAAATACGGATTATTAATTGTTTAAGTTACCCAATAAAATTTTAGAGAAAACTGTTATTTCAGTCTTTTTTTCGAACTTTTGTGTTAGTGGTTCAAATGTCAAAAATCCCTTTATTAGGAAAATGGCAAATTTCTTTATTAATGCAAAGGTGACTTGGTTTATCGTTACTGTGACAAACGAAAACACTTTATTTGATGAATCCTTAAAGAAAATTTTAATTAATATCAATCAGGAGAAAAGTTATTGCAAAAATATATGTTGATCCCTAGACACTTTTGATGTGTGTAGTAATGTAATATTAATACAATCAAATGTTTCAACGTCAATACAATCATGATTTACTTCATATAGAAAACCTGTTGGAATGATTGGAACAGTTCAAATCTACATTTTTGTCTGTAATATAATCCAACACTTTGTAATAAGTAAGATTCTTTTAATTAGTGCTTTTTTATAGTATTTTTGATTCTATTTATGGTTGTATATTGTTTTTCAATATCATTAAAACATATTATGTTATTCACACCGGGAGTGGCATAAAGTTTGTTTCGCTTCGTATGTTACGGCCGCGCCTTTCTGTTCACAATCCCGTTTATTCCAGAATTGCTAGTAATCTGATAATGAGTCGACTGACTGAAACAAACATTTTTTGCTCTCAATGGGACTCTCGCTTCAGTATTTTAGGAAGAATTAATAATGTCATTCAATAGCTTTCAGGAAGGGTGGTAGATGGCCTTACCTCTGGTTGGGTACGGTGTTGCACGGCCTGTACAGCGACAACTTTTGGCACATCGTTCTGCCAGACTACGACAATTTCTGGCATTCACAAACGCCTCTCATCTTCCTAGGAAATAGACTGCCATTACATATTATATTACTATGTAAGTAGAAATTTTAAATAGCACAATAATTTTTGTGATTACTTTTGTTAGTACTTAGTTTTCAAAAATGAACAACCTACTTAATATAGAAAAAGCTCAAGATTAGATTTTGTACTAAGCTTTTTCTTTCTTAAGTAGGTACCGGAGATACGGCATTTGAATGATTGTAATTCTAATAAATTCTTTTTTATTGGAGTTGTATCACAAAAATATTGACAATGTTTACCTGAAATTGACAAAATGGTCAGAGCAGTGTAATTAAATTTTATAGACGTAGTCAAACAGGTGGTCAAAAGTTACCAAGGAACTTAGATTAAATCTAAGGACACAGATGACAGCATCAAGCTGAGGCATTACTGGCCTCTCCTATAATCACATTATCTCTTTTATGTTTTTGTTTATTATGCTCGGTTTTGGTTATTGTAAACGTTATTTTTTTATGTGTGGCCATTATAAACGTTTTCCTTCTACTTTTTTCTAAGGCAAGGATATGAACAGATGATGAGGTAAAAGAGGCCAGGACTCTTGGCTTAGTGACATCACTAAACAGATGTTTGATAATGTTTTTTTTTTTATTTTAGACCCCGCGTTCATTTATCACGCGGCTTACGCGGTGTCCAAACTGAAGTTGCCGCGATACGCAGAGCCGTTCGCCGTCGGCTTGGTGACGGTGTTGATCGATATCCCGTACGACATAGTCGCCGTGAAGTTCGTCCACTGGACGTGGCACGACACAGACCCGAATATCTACGACCGCCATTACTGGGTGCCGTGGAACTCGTACTACTTCCACGCAACATTCGCCGCTAGCTTCTTCTTCTTCTTCGACGTAACCAGAAGGTGGCTGGCGCCCAAAGTTGCTCAGTGGGAATCGGCTGGGTGAGTGACTAGTCTACTAGTTGATTTATTATTTATATTCCTAGCAGCCGCCCGCAACTTCCACCGCGTTAACTTAAGTTATTTGAGAATACCACAGAAACCTGTCATTTTCCTACATATATTTATATATATATATATGTAGGTATTATGTTTTGTATGTATTTTTCATAATATATGTATTGTTATTTATATTTTATTTTATATTTTCCTGTCACATTACTCTTCTATCTCTGTTAAACTATCCTTCGACTTAAAGGTTGTCTGGAAGAGATCGCTTTCAGCCATAAGATCGCCTTTACCCACCATCTGGTTTGTAAACCCTTTAATTGTGTATGTGTGAGTAATAAAGTATTTATATATCTATCAATCTACTCTCAAGGCAGGTCATAAACTATATGCGTACCTATCAAATTTCATCCAACACCATTCAGTAGTTTTAGCGTGATTGAGTAGTAAGTTTCGAAACATACACACATCAAAAAAAGTTTGAGATCACTTGCAAAAGCTGATATATTTTCAAAATTTAACTTAATCAAGAGATTATGTTTACGTTATACCTTTATTATTTAAAAATACACTTTCTGAAATTCAAAAATAAAACTAATTTTATGTTTTAGTATAAACAATTTAATAATTCTATCCTAAGGCGATTGTAATAGAACTTTGATAGAAATAAAAAGATAGTTAAAAACCCTTTATTAATAAATGCGTCAATTTCTCCTCCTCTGGCTTGAACACATACGGAGAACCTCCTGGGCATGCTGAGGATCAAGTTATTCAGCATTTCTTGTGGTAACCTGTCCCATTCTTAAACAGCAGCTTCCCTGAGCTGCGGCATTGTCTGGGGTGGTGGCTGCCGGTTCCAAACAAATCGCTTAAGAGCACCTCACGCGTGCTCTATTGGGTTTAAGTCAAGAGGGCCGGCAGGCCAGTCTAACCTTGTGATTTCCTATTCTCAGAGAGCAGCATTGACTAGTTAAGCTCGATCTGCGGGCGCATTATCGTCAACCAGTACAAATTGGTGACCATGGTTTACTCGGAAAGGTCTGACGATTCCATCAATAGCGACTGTTTTGTATCTGTCTGCCGTCATGAAGCCTTGATAAGTGATTAAAGGCGTTCTAGCCCCAATCATAATACCACCCCAAAAGGACCCTGATTTCCCGCCTTGCTGAACCGTTCCAGTGGCCGTTCTTTGCCTTTCAGAGTCTCCAGGTCTTCTCCAAACACGGAAACGTCGGTTATCTGAATGAGTATTGATTCGCGATTCGTCAACAAAGAGGCACTTTTGCCAAATGTTTTCCTCTTCGTCTTCTTCGTTTTGCCGGAGCCTAGCCCACTGTAATCTCCGTCGATGACGTTCCCGTGAATTCAAAGGTGCTCGCCAAGACCTCCGTGCTCGTAATCCAGCCTTGTGTAAGCAATTCCGAATGGTCTGAGTGCAAACTTAGAGCTCGGAGGCGGCCTGTATTTCTGCTTTTAGTTTAGTGGTGTTTATTGTTGGATCGTGGGTACCAGCAACCTGATGTAGCGCTTCTGAGCAGTTGTCAAAACAGTTGGGCGAGCGCTGCAGGGTCAATCAGCTTAATTACCCATGCCGTGGTACCTCTGCAACGTGGTTACTACACAGGATTGGGATATGGCAACTCTGCGTGCTATTTCTCTCGTAAAATAGCCTTCTTCCCTCGAAGTTACAATTCTGGCTCGTAAAACATCTGATAATCCTCGTGGCATTTATTTAAATCACAACTTTCCGTAAAAAAATATTTTAAATTCGATAATATTGACTGAGTCAGATTTCTGAATTAGTGTCAGCTTGGATTGCATGTCTTTTTATGTGGGAAAACAATTGAATTATTTAATGTTTTACGTTCCAATTCTAATTTTAAAATTTTGAATCTTATCAGAAAAAGAAATTACAAAAAAGTTTTCTGTAACACAAAAAACTATCTATTTTTTAACGTGATCGCTAACTTTTTTTGATGTGTGTTTAAACCGACAATCATACAAACCTTTAAATTGATTATATAAGTAGGATAGTTTAGGCATGCCGCTCTTTAAAGATTTACATAGCCCACTACCAGAGTGTGGTCACACATGTTGAGTCATACGATATTTTCAAATAGTACCTACTTCTGTGTACTGTTGATTAACCAGTACCCTTAGTCCACCCTCAGCAATTTAGGTAGGTATATCTCGATTCAACTAAAACTAGCTTTATCCCGTAAAAATGACAAAACGTCAATGTCACTTTGTCATTTTTGAAGTTATACTTCTTTAGGCGCGTTATGAAAAAGTAACCCAAAACCCAAAAAGTAACCCATGAAGTTGGTCGCTTTAGCGACCAACTTCATGGGTTACTTTTGTGTTTACCGCACATTAAGAAAATCTACCAACAAAATAGAAATAGAATCTTTATTTAGTGGGTGCTAACGACTGCATTGTGAAGGCCTATCAAAATTATTTATTAATCTGGAACAACGGAACCAAAGCGCGATTCAGGAGACTACAGCGCCATCTCTTGACCATTGGTGTAGTAGAACCAAAAACCACATCTTTATTTTTTGTAATAAAGTAACAGTTATAGGTATTCATATTTATAATATTTATCCACATGTTTCTAGTTTCTATATTCGGAATACGTGTTTGAGTTTCATACAAGTGCAAATCACATATGTCCTAATAAATTATATTCAGTAGCGATTTTAATTGAATATTTTGATTATTTATTTATTTTTTCAAATTAAAACTGAACTTTATTGACTTCGTCCTTTTCCAGACTTTTTATTAATTTATTGTAATTAATTATTTGCATGCAATTAAAAACTAATTTTAAACGATGCCAAAGAAGGATAACTTCTCACGCGTCTACATAAGTACACGCACCCCTTTTTTTAATGCTAGTATTAGTTGAATCGAACTTTAGCCAAATTTCAGTCTTAAAGTTAATGTCGAGAACATAAAACTATTTTTGCTTAGCAACAATAAATATTTACTGTCTGCATTCTTAAAAAAATAACAACTTTTATCAGTTTAACATTTTATCGTAAGTATTACAATTAACGATAAATTCACTAATCACTTGTAAGCGCAAGTTATGAGTGTCTGTACCTATATCAATTCAAAACTCGATATCCTAATTATATTTAAGTTCGTTCATGATTTTTTGTACTTTGTAGGTTATATATTACCTTTCTACTCGGTAATTATTCTGTGAACATCTAGCAGCTGCTGCTGTAAACAAGTGACAATCTTTAAATAAAAAAAACCCATAACTTAGACATTATAGCCGCAGGCTTTCAATTCTAAACAATAAATCTAATGTTTGATACACATAATAAAGGTTTGCTGCAGTTGCTACACTGGCTATCTTCCCTTCTGGACTCTACCATCACTTCCCAGCCAGGCTGCAGTGCAGTCATTTACCTGCCAAAAGTAAAATAGTCGGCGATAAGTGATTTTAATTATTTTCTTTTTTACCTTTAAACTAATTAATCATTAGAAAGAATGTCACCTGTTTATGCTGACAATTTTGTTATTTCACCGGAGAGCAGTGTTGTTCTGTTATGTATAAAACAATCATTAGGCTTAGCTGCGCTGCTGAAACTAAAAATATAATCCATCACCGAAACTAAACAGTGATTTAATTTAAATTTACCTATAACTGTTCGTTATGGTTGCTTACTTATGTGAAAACCACTAGAAATTCTACAATCATAATAGTGTTTGTTGACGCTTGAGTAAAAAGTTCTGCCTACACCGGAACGTCGCTCCATTTCCACCAGTAGAAGCAGCTTTGACCCACGTGATCAAAAAAACCCCCCTCTTCAATTCACTCTCTACGCAATTTAAATTTTGTACGCTCAACTTTCTTTCGCAATTTTCGTTTAATTTTATTTTGTAATTATATTCGCAATATACGCATTATTCAAGTAAACAACTGAGCTTTATTGAAGAGTACGCATAACGCCGAAACATTTGGACCTTTTTCGCCGGATAATACGCTAGAAGAATCAGCGACTGTTGCAACCGACGGTTCAACGTCTGTAACGTACCAGGAAATAAGTCGCAAGGTCGAGAGGTTCTACAAAAGCACAGCAGTAATAGCAGCAACCGGAAGTCCAGGAGCCACTAAGCATAAGCGCAAATCGTGGGAGAAGCCAGCTAGCCTTTGAAACGCGCATAAAGGTACAGCCAGCCATCCCGTCTATTCCTGCTTTATCTCCACTTCCTCTGTTTAATACTGTGCATTTTGTCTTATTCCAGTACTTAATTTGTTGTGTATATTTGCTACGAGCCTACGACTCAACCCACGAAACAGCTGCGGCAGTTACATTTCAAATCGTAAGTACTCATTCTTTTTTTTTTTTTTTTTTTTTTTTATATTACTAGGTAGGCAAATGACTCTACCCCACCTGATGTTAAGTGGTGATAAAGTCCAAACGCGAAGATAGCTGGTACAGCAGTTATTAACTGCTACACCAACCATCCTCACCTTGCCGGCCCGCAAAAATGCAAAATGCTTCTTTACTACTTTTCACCAAAATGAGTGTAGATTCATGCCTAGTGCGTGAAATAACCCCTTACAAATGTAGCAATGAGAGCTTGATTAAGGATTTAGTGAGGAAACGCGGTATAGTTAAAGGTAGACCAAATTTGCTAACTATCTCTGTAACATGAAAGTAGAGAATATTTCAAGACAGTCTCGCATAGATTTAAAGTTGCGTATTCAAGGGGCTTCAAATTTATATAAAGAATTCAATGATATTCAGAGTCAATTGGAGGACTTAGCCGTTGATTTGGATGAGCAGTTAACGCAGAGAGAATCGTTCGAAGATGGTTATTACAGTATCCTAGCGCAGGCTGAATATCTATTGAACCCAAACCAACTTGCCAGCAGCTCCAACGCTTGTAGTCATAGTAGTAAATCTATAAAGTTACCTACTATTTCTTTACCCTCCTTTAACGGTCTGTGTGAACAATGGTTAGAATTTAGGGAC